TAGATGGGCCGAATGGTTCTTATCTGCCGTCACATTCTATGTTTCTATGATTTGACTAGCAAACTGAACCTGCTGCTAGAGAACCAACTCCAAAACACTTCACTTTCTGAGAACATGCAAGCATTGCACTGGGTAGGTGCTTTATCATTACACACAGATTCAAACATTTATGAAAACATTCTGTATTTGCAAAGTCATATGGATATAAAACTGTATTAATACAAGGCACATGGAAACATAGATCTCTTTGTGGCAATTACATAAAAAAAAAAACATAAACCTAAAAATGAATAAATACATAAAAATCACAAACATTCCCCATCCTTAAAAAAACAACAACAAAAAAACCTGTTGGGTTATTTACTAAACTGAGAATGCAAAGTGAATTTTAAATTTCAGACCATTATAGCCAAACTTTGGCCTTACATTTGAAATCCACTTTGAATTCACCTTGAATTCCCACAGTAGTGAATAATCCTGTAAATGAGAATGGCTTAAACTGAATTGTATACAAGCAAATTTTGACAATTTTCTTAAAGATAATTAATTACAAACAAGCCTTTCAATAGTTGTAACCAAACCACATTAACTCATCTCCCTGATCTGTCTGGAAATGCAGATGGGGTCCCTTTAAACCACATAAGGCATTAAACCCACTATATTCCATGAAAGAAAAAACAGAATGTATATAAAACAATCCTGGATGATCAGCTTGATCCCATCACCTGGACTCTAAATCCCATAATGCTTCTTTTAGAAGTTGTAGCCCGCAGTAGCTGCACTGACATAACTACATTTCCCCTAATGATTTGAAACCATATCTTATTGATATAAAATTAATGATATTCACTTCATGTGAAGAAAAGCATTTGAGAGACTGTGTCAATAACACAGCTTTAGATTCTCTTGTGTTACATTTAGCATGTGTCGATGCAGTCACCCATTCGACGTGGAAACTTCAAGGACCTGAACTCCTGTCTGCTTTCATGGAAGGTAACGAATCGGACACATTATAAAGTGCTGTGTATCAAATATTTACAACTACAACAATTTAGAAGATCCAGGCTCAACAGTTTAGCTGAATTTACTGGAAATACAACGTTACACAGACAAACAAACAACAAACAAAAACAAAGTCCACATTTTTTTCAAATCGGGATTCCTACCAGGAGTCAGCTTATGTATAATATACTTACAAATGGGTCCAGTCATATATATATATATATATATATACACACACACATATACATACATACATACACACACACACACACACACACACACACACTGTAAATACAAACATATGTTATTAAAAGTATGAATGAACAAGTGTGTGATCAAAGCGTCCCACTTTGTACCAGTTTGGCTAATCACCTCTCTCCCTGATCATTCACGAGGTACAACTCTGCAGAATATGGAAATATTTTTTTATAAAATATAATGTAAACAAGCTATGCTTCCTTAACCCCTTAAGGACCGGCCTGTTTTGCGATGTTGTACGTTAAGGACCAGAGCAGTTTTGACACTTTTGTGGATTTTGTGTTTAGCTGTAATTTTCCTCTCTCTCATTTACGGTTCCCATACAAGTTATATTTTTTTTTTCAGGACAAGAAGGGCTTTCTTTACATACCATTATTTGTATCATGTCATATAATTTATTTTAAAAAAAAATATATATATATATGGTGAAAAATTGAAATAAAACAAACATGTTTTTGGACTATTACTTGAAAAATATTTTACTTATCTACAAAGCTAATGAAAAAAACTGCTAAATAGATTCAAAATTTTGTCCTGAGTTTAAAAACACCCAGTGTTTACATGCTTTATTGCTTTTTTTTTTGCAAGTTATAGGCCTATAAATACAAGTAGGAAATTGCTGTTTCAATATATATATTTTAAATTTATCAATAGTGACATTGTAACACCGTTATCTGTCATAAATCCCCGAATCACACCTCACATGTACATATTTTTTTAAAGTAGACAACCCAAGGTATTCAAAATGAGGTATGTCCAGTCTTTTTTAGTAGCCACCTAGTCACAAACACTGACCAAAGTTAGCATTTATATTTGTTTATGTGTTAAAAATGCAAAAAAACACTAACTTTGGCCAGTGTTTGTGACTAAGTGGCTACTAAAAAAGGCTGAACATACCCCATTTGCAATACCTTGGGTTGTCTTCTTTTGCAAATGGTATGCCATCATTGGGGTAATTCTCATTTCTGGGCTACCATACGCTCTCAAAGGTAACCTAACCAATCTGACAAATTTCAATAAAAAAAAAAAAAAAAGTAAAATCAAGCCTTATATTTGACCCTGTAACTTTCACAAACAATATAAAACCTCTACATGTGGGGTACTCAGGAGACTTCGCTGAACACAAATATTAGTGTTTCAGAACAGTAAAATGTATCACAGCAATATCATCATCAGTGAAAGTGCCGTTTGTGTGTGAAAAATGCAAAACACTTTCACTGACTATATCATCGCTGTGATATGTTTTACTGTTTTGAAACACTAATATTTGTGTTCAGCGAAGTCTCCCCAGTAAAACAGTACGCCCTTTGTACAGGTTTTAGGGTGTCATAGAAAGTTACAGGGTTAAACACAGTGCTAGTAAATTAAATTCTTGGGACTTTCGGCCTGGGTTGTCAGGCATGTCCCTCAAATTGCAATCAATAAAATTACTTAATTAGGTAAAAATAATACATAAATATGCACGCAGAATTTTAAAATATATACATATTTATATATTTGAAGTCTACGTGTATATTTATGAAATTATTCACGTAATTATGTATATGGACATATGTATATTTCGTATACAAGCCTGGTGGTCCTGTTGGGGGCTGGCAGAGAGCTGTTACTTACCTTTCCTGCAGCTCCTGTCAGCTCCCCTCTCTCTCCTCCGTTCCAGTCAGCTCCACTGTAAATCTCGCGAGAGCCGCGGGGAACGCTCCGCGCGGCTGCGAGACTTACAGTGGAGGAGAAGGGGAGCTGACAGAAAAGGTAAATAACAGCTCTCTGCCAGCCCCCCTCCTGCACAGCCAATGCCACAGGACCACCAGGGAATGAGAGCCCACCTCCCTGGCCAGCTAACAAGCAGCGAGTGGGGACGAAAATAAATATAAATAAAAAATTAAGTAATACTATAATAAAAAAAATAATATATATAAAAAATAAAAATGCCCACCCCCCACCAAGGCTCTGCAACACATACACACACACTTGCACTCATACACACTGCATTCATACAAACACACTGCAATATAAATATATATATATATAAATATATATATATATATATATATATACACACACACACATACATACACACACTGTAAATAAATATTAAATTAATGTAATTTTATTGGGATCTAATTTTATTTAGAAATTTACCAGTAGCTGCTGCATTTCCCACCCTAGTCTCATACTCTGGTCAATAAGTTTTCCCTTTTTTGGGGGTAAAATTAGGGGTCTCAACTTATATTCGGGTCGACTTATACTCGAGTATATATGGTAGACAGTTACGTCACTCTGCAAGCTAAAAAAGACCAGGTGAATGCAACCTGTCTCAAGTGATTTAATCTAAATTAAATCCACCATGCTGTCTAGTAAATGAATAGCATCAAGCGGGGCATATATATTTAGGGAGATTAGATCTACAAATAAGATCTTAGTAGTGTTAATTACAAATTGCAATAACAAATGGCTATTCTTGCAAAGCTTGGCTAATACAAATATAGATTGTAATATTTGAAGGTGCAAAAAAAAAAAAAAAAGTTAAAAGGCCGAATAGTCGCAGTCTATAAGGCAAATAAAGTTTACCCATTGAACAACCCTGAATGTAATAATTGTGAGTACACCACCCAGGAAGATATTTCATTTAAAAAAAAAAAAAAAAAACACAACACGATACCACGCAAACATAACAGATTCCATTAAAACCACCATACATCTGAAGTACCTGCCAAAAATGACACTAATTAAAACTTACAATAGTTTAAAGGTTTCTCTGTGCAACAAAACCCACAAACATTAAAATATACACTATATGGCCAAAAGTGTGCAGACACCATATCATCACACCTATATGACCTTATGGGACATTGCTATTAAAAACATGGGCATTATATTCATAATTGAAGGGAACAACTCCATTATAACAGCTACCACACTTCTGGGAAAGCTTTTTACAAGAGTTTGGATTCTGCCTGTGGGAATTGGTGCATTTAAAAAAAAAAAAAATAAATAAAATTAAATTGTTAATTTTCACAATCCCAAAGATGTTCAGTGGGGTAGAGATCAGGGCTCTGTGTAAGCTACTCCAGTTTCTCCACACCACAATCATTGATTTCTCCACTGTGAATGAGAACATCACGCATGCACAAAGTCATCAATGAAAATGATGCTCACAAATATTTTTATTAAAAGTAGGCTGCTTAATCTGCTAAACTTTAAAATGATTTTCATAAGATCCAAAATGTTGCATAATCTGAAAGTGTACAATTAACATACCGCTGTCATTTAAAAGAAGAAATTCACAAATGTAATTTGATTATAAATGGACCATATAACAATTAGACCCTGTATCACCCTCCAATATTGCCTCCAAGCCTTAATAGCACACACTTGTAGTCTGTCCACCTATCACTAACAAAAGGTTTGTCGAGCTACTGACAGAACATGTTATTGGCAGAGCCCCTTTTTGAACGAGCAAGGCCCTGTGGTTTTAAAAGTTTTCACAGATGGATAGACTGGTGTTTTAGCGACAACTTGGAAATTTGGGACCATCAAAATTTCATTAATTATAATGCATTTAAAAAAAAAAAAAAAAAAGGAATCAACTACAGCCTTCAGTGCACCTTTAATATAACCAAAATAGTCCTGGTGTTTGGGGATTTTTTTTAGAATTCAGTACCATCCAATTCGGATAAGATCTTGCAGGCCGAATTCTACTTACACTATAATGCAGTCCACTACTCCATAAACCACTTTTAAGTCACTTTCCAGACACCTGAAAAGAAGGGGTGTCACCGAATTAAAAAATAAGCTGCAAATTACATTGTTCGTTAGAAAATGTACCCTTTGTTAAAAGAAAATAATGTGACTACCCAAAGAGAACCATTTAAAAAAAGAGATTACACTCAAATGCATTAGAATGTAAATAGACATAATTCAAATTCCTTTGCTTTTGGTTTGTTTTTTCTAACCATTACATTTAAAAACAAACAAACAAAACAAACAAACAAAAAAAAATATATATATATATATATATATATATATATATTTTATTTATTTTTTTAAAATACTGAAGGCGGTTTTCATTAAGCTTTCTGTGCATTTGTTGGTAACTCGGTATGCTTCATGTAATAAAAGAGAAAAAAAAAAAATCTAATCTAGATATCTATGCATGTCTCATTTAAATGTCTAGATTAAAGGTGCACTCTATACTCCGTAACCTCTAGTGCTCATTGTCAACGTTAATGCGCAAAGAATATATCTGGGCACTGCCCCACTCAACCCAGAACCGATCCTATTATCTTCATTGATAATTCCTGGGAATGATACAAAGACGCTGTCAAACACTGGTGGATATGTAAAAGAGAAAAGTCACGATTTGAAGAATTTCCATGAAAGCTATGAAGATAGGTGCAGCAATCACTGACACCCATTCATTTCAGGCATACAGTGAAGAAAGTTACTTTCGTATGTGTGAACCAAAAATGCCTCACCAGCAGATAAATGTATATATGAAAGAAAAAAACTAAACAAAATGTAACTTACCCAACTTGCACTTCAAAGGAATCTTGATTGTGTCAAAGAGTACCATTCTGACTTCCTCCAGACATTTTTGAGCTGCAGAAAGATTTTTTGGATAACCTGCAAAGTAAACATTAAATCAGATCTGTTTCTATAGGACAAATGAACTTTAAAATTACTTTTAAAAACTATTCTTTTTTTTAAATGTATACACCTTTGGTGTCAGACAATCTGCTGCTAGCCAGGGCTTACCTACAGGAAAAGCATTACAAAGCTAAAGAGTCACTTACATATAGGACGAGAAGCATCTGTTACATTTTGTTTTTCTAAGCAATTTAGCATGAAAAACAAAAAACGGATATCAAAGAAGGGGAGTACACAGAAAAAGTATGTTTATAAATACCTCGTTTGCTTCTGTGGCTGGTCGATGTCACTATAGCATTTGCTTCCTTGTATTTTGCAAAAAGTATATGAATGACGGATTCCTCCATAAAACCACTTTCTGCCACAAAGTTCTTGAGTGTGCTGGAATGAACCAAAAAAGCCAATATGCAGTTTAACCAACAAAGAGAAAATTTGTTTCTCCACTGGAGATACTTGCAGGTTTTATTCGGAGTTTGGGGATTAGCCTTCTCGGAAGCTGGCTGAGGATCCAGCAATGGCTCTTCTGGTGCATTATCTGTAGGACACGATTTTTCTGCAGAGAGGTTTACACATTTTCTCTGCAAGACAGGCACAAGTGAAGACATCTCTGGCTCTGGGACATCTTTAGACTCTTCAGTGTAAACATGGTTGAAAGGGCTTGCCATTGCCACCACATTATTTTGCCTGATAGGGCTACCCATTATTGTGTCTCCTAAGGAGGAGAGAACTATTTTTGTATTGCAGGTGTTTACTGAAGGGAGAGTTGTAACAAGATCAGTATTGCACACTTCCATCAATGAATTTCCTTCCACTGGTATGGACACCAAACTAGGTGAGCGAGCATGCTTAACTTCTCTTTGACATATTTGAACCAAATCAGGGGTTCTATGTAATTCATATTTAACTAATAAAGCACTGTTTGGCTTTATACTTTCATTGCCTTGCACAAAAGTTGCTTCAGTGCCCACTTCATCTGGTGTATTTTCTGGCAAACCATGTTCGGCTCTCTTTTTTTGCAGGGGATTAAGAGAATGTGTTGGGCTACATTCTGGTTCTGTTAATTTACACTCTGTTAATGATGTGTCTGACAGAGTCATATTTTCATTGACTAGTACAACATCCACTTCAATAAAGGAATTTTCTGCCAAATCAGATTTCATTTGCAGCAGATCAGATGAATCTGTAGAGTTACAAGGACTTTGTCCCTGCTCGGTTAAACAAACTGACTCTGATGCTTTACATTCTGTTAATGATGTGTCGGACAGAGTCATATTTTCATTGACTAGTACAACATCCACTTCAGTGTTCACTTCAATTAAGGAATTTTCTGGCAAATCAGATGAATCTGTAGAGTTACAAAGACTTTGTCCCGGTTCGGTTAAACAAACTGACTCTGATGCTTTACATTCTGTTAAGGATGTGTCTGACAGAGTCACGCTTTCATCACCTTGAACAGCAGCTGGTTCAGTGCACACTTTGATCAAGGAACTTTCTTGCAGACCAAATTCAGATCTCCTTTGCTGCAGATTAGAAGAATCTGTAGAGTTAGATGGACTTTGTCCCTGCTCGGTTAAACAAACTGGCTCTGATACTTTACATTCGGTTGCTGATGTGTCTGACAGAGTCACACTTTCATTGCCTTGCACAACAGCTGCTTCAGTTAACACTTTGATTGATGAACTTTTTTGCAGACCACACTCAGATCTCCTTTTTTGCAGGGGATTAAGAGATTCTGTAGAGTTATATTCTGGTTTTGATACTTTACACTCTTTTAACGATGTGTCTGACAAAGTCATTCTTTCAATGGCTTGCACAACAGCTGCTTCATTACACATTTCGTTCAAGGATCTTTCCTGCAAACCATGTCCAGACGTCCTTCGTTGCAGGAGAATAGGAAAATCTGTATGGTCCCATGGTCTATGCCCATGCTTGGTTGAACAAATTAGTTCTGATACTTTATCTTCTGTTAATGATATGTCTGACACAGTCATGCTTTCATTACCAAGAACAACAGCTTCTGCGTCAGTGCCCACGTCGATCGACGAAATTTCATGCAGACCAAGTTCTAATTGCAGGGTATTCGCAGAATCTTTAGGGTTACATAGACTTTGACCATGCTTGGTTAAACAAACTGGTTCTGATACTTTGCATTCTATTAATGTATCTGACAGATTTAGATTTTCATTACTTCGCTCCACGATGTTGACTGAAGGACTAAAAACTTCCAAAGCAGAGTCTTCTTGCCTGTTTTTTTCAGGCTCAGAGTCCTGAACATGTGCTTCAGTGCCTACTTTCATCGATGAACTTTCTTGCAAACCATGTTCGGACCGCCTTTTTTGCAGATCAGGAGAATCTATAGGATTACATGGACTTTGCCCATGTTCGAGCAAACAAACGAATTCTGATACTTTACAGTTTATTAACGACATAGCTGACAGAGTCATACTTTCATTGCCTTGCACAACAGCAGCTTCACTACACACTTTGTTCGATGAACTTTCTTGTAAACCATGCTCAGATCTGCTTTGTTCCAGGAAATTTGGTGAATCTGTAGGGTTACATGGACTATGACCATGTATGGGTAAACAAACTGGTTCTGATACTTTACATTCTGTTAATGAGGAGTCTGATAGAGTTACACCTCCATTGCCATGTACAACAGCTGCTTCTGTGCCCACCTTGACCAATGAACTTTCTTGCAAACCATGTTCAAATTGCAGGGTACTGGCAGAATCTTTAGGGTTACCTGGACTTTGACCATGCTTGGTTAAACCAACTGGTTCTGATACTTTGCATTCTATTAATGTGTCGGATAGATTTAGATTATCATCACTTAACTCCACCATGTTGACCGAAGCACTAAACAGTTCCATAGCGGAGTCTTCTTGCCCATCTTTTTCAGGCTCAGAGTTCTGCAATGTACATTTAAGAGAACCAGTCAATTCCACAGCAATCTGACCACAGAGATTGGAACCAATAGCTTCTATAATTTCAGAATTTGGAATTGAAGAGCATGTTGCATTCACAGTTTCAACGCCATACTTCACATGCATTAGAACTGAAGGTTCACATACAATATTTTCAGTCACTGAACTGAATGCAGTGGGTCTATTTTCCTGTACTTCCAAATAGTCATTGATAACACTGGCATTTACTTTATCTGAACTATTGCCCATATTTTCTTCATGCCCATTAATCATCATGCTTGTAAGTTTTGAAATGTTGCTAGCAGTACCATCATTTAAATCATTAAGTCTAGTAAACTCTTTTTGCATTTCATGATCCTGTGAAAACTCCCGTTTTGGTTCATCATCTGGGGATTCACGTTTCCCATTCAGTAATAATGTGGTGGTACTACTACTACTGCAATGGCTTAAACTTTCCATCAGGTTTTGCTCTGTCTGCAGTCTGTAATCATTTAAACAAAACATGGAAGGGTTCGGTACCATTGTTACTCCACTTGCTGGTGTCACAGTGAGAGGTGCATGGTTAGAGTTTTTTACTTGAGAACAAGAAAAGTTATTTTTTGAGTCAAAGTCCATAAAGACAGAAGGATCAGTTTTCATTTTCTTAATACAAGCTTTGTTGGTTGGAGAGGTTTCCAAGAAATTACGCTTTTTCTGCTTGCTTTGGTGACATGATTTCTTTAAGTCCTCCGTGTTTTTAATTACGTCATCCAAAGGCGTGTATCCCAAGGGATAAATACACTGAAAAAAAACAGACAGCCACTCATTAAATAAATCCAAAACAGCAATTAAAATATACTACACATTTGTATGGTTACTCCAAGCACCATGACCACTTCGCTGTTTTGAAGTGGCCATGGAGCCTTTATGTGTAGCATCTCACTATGAAATGCTGAACATATGAAGTTTAACTCCACCTCTTACAGTATCATCAGGATATCATACTCCAGACCAGAAAATAGTTTTGGGCTGGATAACATGATTTTTTGTTCTAAATTGGGGTCTGTCGTCAGCAACCAATGACAGCACATCTTCCACAGCAGCTAGGTGGTATGATGACAGTGTAGGAGGATCAGGCTGAGGGGAGAACTTGGCCTATGCGATGGAATAGAGGTTCAAGTTAGACATTATGGGCAGAGGAGAACCAAAGGCTGCGCTCAGATATTGAGATAGAAGAGTTAAGAGAGTTGTTTTATTAGCATTTACATGACCTTGCTGTATGTGATGATGTCAAATGTGAAGACCAGACTAACAGCCACAAGAGGCACTTCCTCCTTAAAAGGACCACTATAGGCACCCAGACCACTTCAGCTTAATGAAGTGGTCTGGGTGCCAGGTCCACATAGGATTAACCCTTTCTGCTGTAAACATAGAAACTGCTATGTTTACAAATGGGTTAATCCAGCCTCTCTACTTGCCACCTGGTAACTATACTATTTATTCTGTTAAGTTCAGCAGCTACTTCTGGGATCCCCTTGTTTCAAGGGTCTCCGTCATTCAACTATATTTATTTCTGGGTTACCCCCTATATTGTAGCTCTGAGGTAGGCTCTTTTTAAGACAGTTCTCACCAATTCACATATTTTTGTGATTATGGGGATCTGTCTTTTCATTCCTTTTTAATCCAGCCTCTAGTGGCTGTCTCATTGACAGCTGCTAGAGGCGCTTCCGTGCTTCTCACTGTGATTTTCACAGTGAGAAGACGCCAGCGTCCATAGGAAAGCATTGAAAATTGAAAATGCTTTCCTATGAGACTGGCTGAATGTGCGCGGAGGAGGGAGCCCGGCGCTGGAGAAAAGTAAGTGTTTAACCCCTTCCTCTCCATCCAGCCTGGCGGGAGTGGGACCCTGAGGGTGGGGGCACCCTCAGGGCACTATAGTGCCAGGAAAACGAGTATGTTTTCCTGGCACTATAGTGGTCCTTTAAGGCTTGATTTTTCACACATCATAATGCCACAAAATGCATTTAAAGCTACTCAGAGAAGCATTCGATTTTATGCTATTAAGTGAGCAGCAATTCCTAACCAGGTATCATACGTCCTCTACCCTTTTCTACAACAGCTAACTGGACCAAAGATATCACTGTAAGCACTGGGCTACTGCATGGAGTCTGACATAACCCTGGATTACAGATAAAGCTTTCTTTGATACTTAAGTGGGAGCCTGAATCTAAACCTAGTAATGAATAAAATCAAACATTTTTAATAAATAGTTAGTGCAATATTTATTCTAAATTGTTTTCATTGTTCATGCACAAACACTATTACAAGGATATCAACTGATCAGTTAAAGTTATTTTGAGCACATCTCATTCTTTTGTATTGCGATAGGTTTCACTTTTCTGACTGTAGGGGGAAGGAACCAGTCACTATCTTGAGAGTTTTGCTGCTCACTATTTACTTTCTTTCAGCATCTTTTATATCACTTAGCAGTATTTTAGTTCATCTATGTTTCCAGTTCGGCTATACAGGTCTAAAAATTATGAAAATTCGTTTAGAATTCCCGGCAATTCTAACTTTGGTGAATAACAATGCTGGGGAGGATGAATCTATATTAACTTACTAAATGTAAGAAACAAATACATCTCAGGCAAATGTCACAATGTTAAAACAAGGACTCAAAATTAAAAATTCTACACTACTAGACAGATCTATATTTTACTTCCAGAGCAGGCTAATGGACGAGAGGAAATTCTGATACCAGTTAGAACTTCACTTCCAAATCTGGACGAGAGAGTTCCTTCTTCCATCAATCCAGTAAGCTATCGTGTTACTAAAAAGTTTGGTTACTTCTAATAAACGGGTGCAGGCACACATTTTCCATAATAAACACAACAGCTCACTGTAGTGGTTATGGTGCTTGGAGTGTTCCTTTAAATAAACAACCTGTTCTTTCACGTGTTAGACATGAACACTAAGCTTGACATATGTGCTGTAAAAATTTGCGATAGAACTTTTTAAGTCTACATAGTTGCAACTGACGCCCCAAAAGAATACGAGAAACTGAACATACCTGAGGATCAGAACACAGATATATTGACTGAGTGAAATTAAGCCGGTATGTACGGAGTGCTTGCTTCTTGTCTTTGGCCTTGCATACTGGACAGTATCCATCTGGAGAAGTTGTAGTAGTCTCAAAATTCTATGGGAAAACAAAACTGCATTATAGAACTTTGGAAAAGTACAAACCAATTAAAACCGCATTTTCTAGATCCATTTTGGAAGATAATATATTTCAAAGCAATACCTTTAGTAGGTGATAAGTATAAAACATTACTTTCAAGAACCAGCACTTTAAATGATAAAATATATTACAGCTCATAAAATAAAATGCCTTATCAAACGCATACTTTATCCATGGATGGAATACTTAACCATTGTGTAAGTTTTAACCCCTTAGGGACCAAACTTCTGGAATAAAAGGGAATTATGACATGTCACACATATCATGTGTCCTTAAGGGGTTAAAATGAAGTATGTAGATCCCAATAGGCATTATTTTAAAGAAATTATGAAGAAAATGGTTTACAAATGCAATTCGTGTAAGATAAGATCCTTAGTCCTACTGTAACTTCACAAAACAAGCTGGATATCCTGTACCAATAATGTAATACTTGCACCAAACGTGCAACAATTTAAAGGGAACCCCTATTTTTTTTACTAGATTGCAAACTGCATTTTCTAACACAGCAAAACATTCAACTGTTACACCAGTTGGTGTTGGGTGTATAAAGAGTAAAAGTGGTGGTTTTAGTAAAAGAAATACAATATTTATATTGCAAGCAAAAAATGAAAAATGTTTAAATCTTTCGCCTTTTATAAAATAAAAAAAATTAAAAAAAGATTTCCGTGGGAGAACAAAATGTTAAGGAAAAAAAAAAGGAAAAAATATGTATATTTAGACAAAACAAAACAGTAAAGTTTCACTGACTTTTCCCAAATAGCCCACCAGGGGGAGCGAAGAGTTATTTAAAATTGACCCTTGTTCAACCAAAGACACTGCAGATTTCGGAGTCTCTGAAGCCATCGTGGTGACCCATTGGATTATTTTTGTCATGTCACATGTAACCTGCCAGCACCGGTATGTACATGTCAATGACCCCTGCAAAACAAGTTGATTAAAGGTTAATTCGCATGAGATTTAAAACCAGCATTATGCAGATAGCTACAGAAAACAGTTTTGTAGAAGCAAGGGAGGTAATATTCTACTTAATAAAACACATTGGTGAAGTCTCTATTTGTTAAACAGCGGAGTGTCACAGGTCACCACCACACAAATGGTGCTGGACAGGTCCTTTCATTTACCTGGCGTGCTGTAGCAGAGCACAATGAGTGTGTAAGTGAATCTAATACTAGATAAGTATATTGTGAATTTGGAAAATCTCTCTATGAGAAAATAAATATAAAATTACTTTTTGTACATGCATTTATTAACGTAGAGCAGCGTTGGCAACCTTCAGCATTCTAAATGATGAAGACTACAACTATCATAATGCAGGGGAGATGTAATCCACATCTGGAGTGCTAAAGGTGACCTACCTTTGAGTGTTCCTTTAACCCCTTAAGGACACATGACATGTGTGACATGTCATGATTCCATTTTATTCCAGAAGTTTAGTCCTTAAGGGGTTAAAGGGAACAAAACAACTTTAGCATTATGAAGCATTTTTGGTGTATAGCTCATTCCCACACACAGTCTCAATTATCTGCCATTAAAGAGTTAAATCACTTTTGTTTCTGTCTGTGCAAACCTAACCACACCTAACCTGGCTGTGACTGACACAGCCTGCATGGAAAGAGTGTTAACTTGCTTTAGAAGTTATTAAACGACCACTATAGACACCCAGACCACTTCAGCTCAATGAAGTGGTCTGGGTGCCAGGTCCATCTAGGGTTAACCCTACCTGCTGTAAACATAGCAGTTTCATAGAAACTGCTATGTTTACAATAGGGTTAATCCAGCCTCTAGTGGCTGTCTCATTGACAGCCGCTAAAGGCGCTTCCACGCTTCTCACTGTGATTTTCACAGTGAGACGATGCCAGCGTCCATAGGAAAGCATTTAGGATGCTTTCCTATGGACTGGCTGAATGCGCGCGCGGCTCTTGCCGCGCATGCGCATTCAGCCGATGACGTCGGAAGTTGGAGGAGAGTCCCAAGCGCCGCTTGGGTGGGGGGGACCTAATAATACTAAAGTGCCAGGAAAACGAGTTTGTTTTCCTGGCACTATAGTGGTCCTTTAACTCCTGCTCTGTAAATTAAACTTTCATCAAAAACAAGAGGCTCCAGCAGGCTCTTCTAAATTAAACAAAATGTGCAATAACATAAGTTTAGACATCTCTCTTCATAGGAAGTATTTAGGAAGGCTGTTAGTCACATGCTGGGAAGTGTGACTAGAGCTGCATGAAAACAATAGTTTAACTCCTAAATGGCAGAGAATTGAGCAGTGAGACTGCAGAGGCATGAGCTATAAATCAAAACTGCTTCATTAAGTTGATTTGGTGACTACAGTATCCCGTTAATGGGCTAAGAAATTTAAGTAACACCCCAAACACATGCTTGCGGAAGTGCTTTATGAGTGAGGAGTGCATCCTCTTTTTTTCCTCATTTTTGTATGGATTTCAATAGAAATCTCCTGGTAGTTTAACTCTGTAGCACTAAATTCGAGAGGCAAAGACTTCTCAATGAGCTGTAACACAGCTTACTGAACAGCCACTGAAAATCTGTTCTGGTAAAGAAGAGCTTGCAGTACCTGCAGATTCAAGATCTGCAGCTATGGCTGGCCTATTGTTCATATATTCCCAAAGGAAAAAACAAAACCACACCAAGCAAATTACATAAATATTTTAAATGGGAGTATATCTACTAAGTTGTTTATAGTTATGGCATGTTTCTCCCAACATGCAAATCTGCAAGCAATCACAATGCATAGTGAGGATACCAGCCTGGAAACCATATATTTAGTTTGGAGCGTCGTACATATCGTATAAGCCATTGCAGAGTTATGAGAATTGTAGCTGAAGGAAGACTGTTCAGTTCTTTGGAGTTCTCGTTCGGTGCATGGCCATCGAAGTGATCATTGTTCAGAACAGATCTTAATAGAACCCTCTAAAGACCAGAACCCGTACAGCTTAATGTGGTGGTTTCGGTTCAAAGAGACCATCCAAGTTGTTTAAACACAGCCTTTTACGTGAATAATCAGTGTTTATATTTGTCCCTTGGGACACCTCCTTGGGAGGTGTTTCCTATAAACATCCTGCAATCTTGAAATCTATATTCAGAATTTTTACACCAACTAGCATCTCCAAAATCTCAAATGTGATAATGCATCTCTGAGGGGATGCTGACTGGTACAATGCGACAGCTGCCATGCATGTGCAGTCTCACCCCCAATTCTTCTCTCTCTATGGAGAAGTATTGTATTGGCTGCAGTGGGGTTCCCATCCAGGGGCAGAGTGGCATCCTTTGTGATACTGGCACAGCAACAGATAAAAGGGGAGTAAATTTTGGTTTTGCCGTATAGGGGGCTGCAAATCAAAAACATTATTAAGACACAAACTTCATAACTAGATCTTTGTATTTCTAATGTTAGAATTTCTCTTCAAGCAGTCTGCCCTTGGCGTTGACATACTTCTGGTGAATTAATCTGCCAGGAGCCTTTGTCTCTATTCTACTCTCACAAATGTTCGAGACTACAAAACTAAGTCAATGGATGATCTTTCACAGAAATTCTCACGCATGCATAATAAGGACCAATTCCTAAAATTCAACCTCTCTAAGATCGAGCTCCTTGTCTTTCCTCCCTCTAAGGTGAAGTCTGTTCCTATTTACCTTAAGGTCAATAGAGATATCAAACTCTATCCCACAGGCAGGTTGACTTTGTGTGCTTATTTACTGACCCTTCCTGTCGCTTTTCCCTGAAAACCATTTCTCACATTCAACCCTTTCTCACTCAGGATGCAACCAAAATGCTTGTCCATGCTTATCGGGTTAAGAAGTGTCCAGATTGACGCTCTACATTCCTTGATGAACAGCTATACCAGACTCATCGACATTACATACTGCAACTATCAAAACTCACCACTGCCAGTTGCTCTTTCAATTTGGATTCGATTCAAACTTCTCGTGCTTACTTACAAAGCGGTCCACAACTACTGTGCTTACATTTCCTCCTTTATTAGGAGGTATCTTGCAGTCTGGCCTCTTTATGACCTGTTACTATCACATTGTCACACCCCTCCACCACTTTTCCATGGCTGCCTTTATGGAATAGCCTAACACCCCAGTGAACTCTCCATCTCTGCAGACCCTCCAAACCCCCCTACCCTAAAAAACACACTTTTTAAGAGAAAACTCTATCATCTCGTACCTTAATTCCTCATTCCCTACCTACAACCTTCCACTGCAGTCTCATCTACTATGCTCCCTCCTACAAAACAATCCTCCCATCCTTTATGGCATACACAGTTCATTTGGTTCCCTCACTTACCTCTGTGTATTTGTCCTCCATCCGTTAACATTGTAAGCTCATTTGGGTAAGCCCTGCTTCACCTACTATTACCATATGTCAAGCATGTTTTTGTCGTGTTTTACCTAATGTACAGCATTGCTCAAAGACTGCCAATAACATGAGATAAAGTAGTCCCTATTTTGTTGCATGTATATATTTTGATTGCGTTTGAATTTCAAATAACACAAAGAGAATTATTAATAAAGATTATATCAATGTAAGGCTCAAAAGTGACTGAGCCGCTTTACGAAATTACTTTTACAGAATGCTGTTCAGCCTGCTGCATACCCAACTCAATGAACTTCACTTAGAGAAACCATAAGGAAAGTCTTTTATTAGCTTCTTGCTTGTTTTGCATTTAATAAAAGATTTAACAGACAACCCTGCTGTAAATGGCATTATCCATTAAAACCATGGATGAATTTGCACATAATAAATACACTTTGCCCTTAGTCAGGGATCGACAAATCCCAGGCGCCAGGTGGCCATGACGCTTAGGAATTTTGCTTTGGCGCTAGGATATGTAAGCCGGTGGGCGGGAGGCCTGCTAGGGAATTATGGAAACAGGCGGCTAGCTGCGCGTATTGCTGTCAGGTGGCTAGGCAGCTGTGTTGTCCAAGCAATGCTCCCTCACTCGCCGCTTAGTGAGACCAGGGCCAGAATATGACATATTTTCCGGCCCCACTAAGCGTCGCGTGGGGGAGCAGAGCAGGGACATCACAGCTGCCTAGCCGTCTGACAGAAATACGCGCAGCTAGCCGGCCGCCTACATAATCCCCCAACTTCCCGCTCACCTGTGCGATCCCCCGGCATGCCGCCCACCTGCACAATCCCCCAGATATATCAATACAAGCAATAATGTGCGAGTTTGCACGCGGCAGGGTAAGCACATGTGTGTTATGGGTTGTGTGTGTGCGTCATGATGTGGGTGTTTAGGTTACCAGATCCTTTCCATTCGCAAGGGAATGGTGTTTATACTCACCTTTTTTTCCCACGCTGTGCTGGTCTCCACTTGAATGGCCCTGCCTCTATTGCTGAGATCATCAAGCTTGATGATCTCAACCAAACTAATGTTTTCCCATAGAATTGGCTGAAAGACGCTGCACCAAATGATAGAGATATATCTATATATATAGATATATCTCTCTCTATCTCCTCTGCCCCCTGATAGTGGAGTAAAAAGGTTGCTTTACCTTTTATCCATCGCCAAACTGGTCTCACCACAGCTGGCCCTGCCTCCATGACTGAAATACTCAAACATGATGATCTCAGTCAACCCAATGCTTTCCCATAGGAAACATTGAGAGGCTATTGTCCATGCACAGCAAAATGATGCACTGTGCCAATCAACATGTCATCATAGAGATGCACTGCATCAATGCATCTCTATGTGGAGCGTTCAGCATTAACGTAGGTGCCACACATAGTGCAGCAATGAAATAGGAAGCCCCTCAAGTGGCCATCTGAGTGCCTGCATCTACCGTGTTTCTCCGAAAATAAGACCGGGTCTTATATTAATTTTAGTCACAAAAAACTCACTAGGGCTTATTTTCAGGGTAGGGCTTATTTATTTACGGTACCGGTACCGGTACGGTACCCTTTAATAAATCCACCCCCCTCTAATTAATCCACCCCCTCTAATTAATTCACCCCCCTTTAATTAATCCAGCCCACCCTTTAATTAATTCACCCCCTCTAATTAATCCAGCCCACCCTTTAATTAATTCACCCCCCTTTAATTAATTCACCCCCTCTAATTAATCCAGCCCACCCTTTAATTAATTCACCACCCCTTTAATTAATTCACCCCCTCTAATTAATCCAGCCCACCCTTTAATTAATTCACCCCCCTCTAATTAATCCAGCCCACCCTTTAATTAATTCACCACCCCTTTAATTAATTCACCCCCTCTAATTAATCCAGTCCACCCTTTAATTAATTCACCCCCCTTTAATTCACCCCCCTCTAATTAATCCAGCCCACCCTTTAATTAATTCACCCCCCCACCCCCTTTAATTAATTCAATTAATCCCAGACATAAAATATCTAGCGGTACTCACATTTCAAAGATTCCTTGCCGAGTCCGACCACTGGGAGCCTCACCGCCCGGAAATGGATCCTTCCGCTGAAGATCCGTGAAGGCAGACTGACGGCGCTGCAAAATGTCGTCATCACGTTGCGCGACGCTCCTCCTACAGCAGAAGAAGGAAGTCTCGCCGCAAAGGTACAATGCCTAGGTCTTATTTTCGGGGTAGGGCTTATATTGCAGCCCACCCCGAAAATCCGACTAGGGCTTATTTTCGGGGTAGGGTTTATTTTCGGGGAAACACGGTAGAGGGGTTACTAGTGAGCAATGTAAACACTGCCTTTTCTCTGAAAATCCTGCTGGAGAATGGAATAGACTCCAGAACTACTATAATTAAGCTGTAGTGGTTCCGGTGACTATAATGTCCCTTTATTCTGCTAAAATCTGGGACTTTATCAAATAACCTGTGCGTGACCTAATGGGACTGGCAGCTAGCGGGTCTAATATGCTACAAAGTCAGGGTTCTTATGAGGCATGGCTTGTGCGGTCTGTCAAATATTTGGGTGTTATGTAACTGATTAATAGCATTTTATGGGCAAATACTGGAGTGAGGAGCCCTGTGGGTGCTGTATGGTTGGCAGATAAGATCAGTTGCAAGTGCATCATGATTAGTTGCTACTGCAAGGCTATGAGAGTCTTGCATTTTAGCACATACATATCCTACAATGCAAAACTGACAGCTTTATTCACTAAATTGAGAATTGCTTTAAATAAAGCATATTGTACAAGCAATTTGTGGAGCACATAATCTTGGACATTTGAATAGGACACAAAAGTAGTAATGCAAGCTGACATACAGAAGAGAGTTATTTAAGAGACACTTTAGCTTAATTAAGCAGTTTTGGTGTATCGATCATGCCCATTCAGTCTCACTGCTCAATTCTCTGCGATTTAGGAGTTAATTCACTTTGTTTATGCAGCCCTAGTCACACCTCCCTGCATGTGACCTGCACAGCCTTCTTAAACACTTTCTGTAAAGTGAGAACTAAAGATTACATTTCCTTTTTTTGCAAATTCAGAATGTATTGTCTCTTGTACGGTTAATAGCTTGCTAGACCTTGTAAGAGCTTCCGGAGTGTGACTAAAGTTCAATTTACCGAGCAGGAGATAAGCATTTCTAAAGTGAGTTAGCTTTCTGATTGAAAATGAAACACTTTTTTTTTGGCTGGCTGTAAGTCACAACTAGGGGAGGTTTGGCTAGGGCTGCATGGACAGAAATACAATTTAAAGCACCACTAAAGGCACCCAGACCACTTCATCTCAATGGTGGTCTGGGTGCCAGGTCCCCCTAGTTTTAACCATGCAGCTGAAAACAGTTTACAGTGCAGGGTTAATCCATCCTCTATTGCCTGTCTCCCGCCTTCCACTAGAGGCGCTTCTGCGAGGAAATCACACTTATTTGACGCTGGATGTCCTCATGTAGTCCAGTGTCAAAAAAGATCCCCATATGAAAGCACAGAGTTATGCTTTCCTATGGGGGGGTTTAAATGCGTACGCACCTCTGGCTGCGCATGTGCATTCGGCTCCACTCGGGAGCTGATGTCGATGGATGAGAAGAGGTCACCAGCGCCAAGTGAGCACGGCGCTGGATTAATGTAAGCAAAGAAATGGTTCATTAACCATTTAATTGCCGCGTAACGGGGCCCTAGTCACCGTTTAGGTGACTTGGGCTCTATAGCGTTAGGAATACTTATTTGTATTCCTAACGCTATAGTGTTCCTTGAACTCCTAAATGGCAGAAAAGTTGTTTTGATGACTACAGTGTCACTTTAAACTGCAAATTGAAACTCTAACCTCAAAACTCAGGCTAACACAGACATGCTATGACCAGAACACAATACTTTACTTTTAAATCATTTTTGTCTACATTTTTCATTTTGGTGTTTAGTCTATAAGAAAAGAAAACCACCATTTAGTTGTTTCACACATTGTCATCCCTCAGCATTACTAAATTTATATTTTCCCCATTTCAGACTTTATGGCAAATTGTTATTAAATATCTCTTAGTACAACCAGTATGTGTAAATTGTGTTTAGTAAGTGATTTATATCACACCCCCCAGTGTGGGGGTACAATAGGTGGTGTGGTTAAATAAGAAGTATTTGATTATTTGAGGTTTAGTAGGGTGTCCAGCATTACACACAGTATCTATGGGTCAGTTTATGTCTCCCAAGCTCCGGGTGGCCCTGTATGAGCTGACCCCCTGTTTGAGGGTTGGCATGCCAGCCAGCTCCATGTTGCCCAGCACGTGGCTCTCCTGCTGGGCACATTAAGCACTGCCCCATCCTCTCACCTCAGTTTGATGAATGACACTGTGTGTGCAAGCGGTGCCCGGCAAGGTCCAGCGGCCAGCAGGCCCTCTCCGGTTCAGCTCCGGGCCGGATACACGAGAATCCACAAAACGTGAAGTCAACGTCCAAATTTCCGGCGGCGCCAATAATACGTCACAGCCACTTCTATTCACTTCCGGCGCAGCGGGCGAACGTCCTCGCCTGTTAGTGACGCCATCTTTACTGTGGGCAAAAGGACATGGCAGTAAGAGGAAGTCGGCATAATACAAGTTTCTAACTAGAGATTAGTTTTGTTTCAGGATCCACAGATGTTGGAAATATAGATTTATAAATAAATGACGGACAAAAACATGTTTGTTTGTTTGTTTTTTTTGGGGGGGTGAACATTTTTATATTTTTATTTACGTTGTATGTCAGCTTGTTCAAAGCCAGAATATTTGATGGAAAAGAGCTTTATGCCACAACGACTCTGTGGATTTACAGGAACACTCTAATCATGTCAGGGTAGCTTACCTCCTAAGTGTCTCTTTTTAGGAGAGACACAGTTCCTATTTTGGGACCCTGTCCCTCTTTTCTATCCTAATGTACTATTTTTCTTTCTAGGAGCTCCTTATTATATTTGTGTCTGAGTGTATAACAAAGCTCCAGAGCAATAATACTCACATTAATGTGACTTTAAAATACCACAAAATGTGTTTAGAAACCATTCTTTATAAATAAGATCCATTGTTCTTGTTCTAAATTACATTCTAATTGCATAAATTGTTCTTAGTACGTCACCTAAAATATGTCAGACCAGCCACACCTCTGGCCACACACCCAGTAACACCCCTAAAATTAAAGTGTCCCTCTTAGTCCAATTTCAAACCTTGGGAGGTAAGGGAAATGCACGGAAAGATTGACAAGGGTGTTGTGGACTGCACCTTCCAATCATTCTTCTGAAAATTAAAACAATGGCAAGACCTGAAAGAATAACAAAGCAGGCAGGAATTGGGCAGGGTCTTTGCAAGCAGGGCACTGTGTTAGTTTGCGCATGGACTGGTGGTCAGTACTCTCAATGCTCACTAGCCTTTCAGACTACGAGTATGTATGATTCCCTTCAAGGTATTTGCCCGTGACTACAGGGTGTGATAAAACCATAATCATGACATTCATAACTCATGCAGGTTGTTGCTGGTGGCGACATAGAGTTTGTGTCTCTTATGCGTGCACAGATCTCTAAGAATGTTCCTTTATATTGTGCAGGTTATATTCATGGTAATTACAGGGATATATGATGGCAAATCTTGCAACTCCTGCAGCTTCCATCTGTCAAATTTATATATACTGCATTCTCATTATCAGAGAAAAAAAAAACATAAATACCATTTATCAATATATTAATAGTATTTATTGTATAATAAAATGTATTTATGGAGTTTTCTCCTATAATCCTATATGGCGGAGGTGTTTCCACCAGCATAAGATAATAATCTAAGAACTCAACGATGCTGGAAGTTACTTTACATCACTTTTGGAAGTGGCAAGAAAGACTGAGTGAAAATAAATACTTCGCCATAAGGTTGATTTGATTATTAGATCCAGATCAGGTGGACGCAAAGGAACAGAAAGCTTGTTTGTACCAATATTCCTTTTGGAAAATACTGCATTATCATGGATTTGTTAATACCTTTTTTGGAGTACCATATCTTCGAGGTCCAGAGCCAAGGGGTAATGTGCCACCACGAGACTAATTTTGAGCATTAAAGAATACTACAGTTTTAGTGATATGATCCAAATGCAGTTTTCTACATCTGAAAATTCATGTTATTAGAGGCTAAACTTTAAACTTGTCAACTCTCTCAGCATCTGTGTTAATTGCTTGCATTTTTACCCTGTCAAAACTATTGTAAAACTAATTTTGGATAGCAGTGGTAAAATAGTGCATGCTGCAGCTACAGTATAATGATAATTGAAGCATGTCTGGCAAGAAAAGTGAAATGTGGTATATTGTTTTCCATGGATGTAAAAGTTGCTGTTATGAAGAGGCCGAATGGGGCAATTGTTCTCTGGCTGGAATTCAGTTTGCAGAAGCTGTTTGTGTACAAGGCTATATGTCTTTCATGCTCCAGATCTGTTATATATTGACTTTGATAGTGCTGACTTAATAATTCTCATAATGCAAGGGTCTCAGACTCCAACTACACGAGGGCCCTTGGCCAAGTCGTCTTCTTCCATGGGAGCCACTTGTAAGAAATCATATTAAAAAAGGAAAATTAAAGGGACATTATAGTCACCAGAACAACTACAGCTTATTGTATTTGTTCTGGTGACTAGAATCATTGCCTTCAGGCTTTTTACAGTAAACTGTTTGGTTTTTTTCAGAGAAAATGCAGTGTTTACATTTCAGCCTAGGGATACCTAAACTTTTCACTCCTCAGATGGCTACTATAAGTTTATACTGGGGCAGTCTTGCCTAGTGTGCAGCACTCCATTCAGTGTTTCCATCCTCTTCATGGAGAAACTGAACTTTCTTCATAGATATGCATTGATTCAATTCAACTCTATGAAGAGATGCTGATTGGCCAGAGCTGTGCTTGAATCATGCTGGCTCTGCCCCTGATCTGCCCCATTGACAGTCTCAGCCAATCCTATGTGGAAGCATTGTGGTTGGCTCCGAACACCACTTCTGATGATGTCATATAAGTAGGCAGATCGGGGTAGAGCCAGCATCAATAGACTAGAACATAAAGGTAAGATTTTGCTCTATTTAGTAGGGGGCTAGATGGTGGTTTTAAAACTATAGGGTCAGGAATACGTTAGTGCTCCTTTAACTGTACCATGCTAGTTCATGGTATAGTACTATTCCCCAGCACCTAATTTTACTAACCAGTCCCACTTTATTGGCCCCCACCTTATTTACAGTACTCCATCTTATTCACCAGCAGCCTTCTTATTTAGCAGGCCCCCCTAACCACCCTCTCATTCACCATCTCCCAATCTTATTTACCAGTCTGCTGTGTTATTCAACAATACCCTCCTTATCGAATCTCAATCTTATTCATCAGTCCTTCTTATCAAGTCTACATATTTGTTTTATTACATTATTAGTCTTAGGGCAGCTCAGGACTCCTGAAACTCAGGGCTCCTCACCGCATGGAAGGGAGGTGAGCCATAGTCACCTGACCTCTCCACGATTCCTTTATTGTGAACTTATCTTGATTGTGAAAAAAACAGCGAATGCTGGACAGCCATGCAGTGGATCATCATACACCACGTGTCCACATTGTTAAGACAAGTTCACTGTATTCAATGATGACAGGCAGCAGCCTGCTTCCATGTCCACCCCGATCTAGAAAAAAAAAAAAACACATGTTTTTTTTAATGTCACAAAACTATTTCTGCAAGTGCATAGTATTGGTTAACAAGTAACAAATGCACATCAAACACAAGCAGTGGCGTACACATGACCCATGGGGCCCCGGTGCAAAAATTGATCCGTGGGCCCCCCGCGCGCTTACTCGGCGCGGGTCGGGGCTGCAACACATGGCGGCGGGCACCTGGTCGCAGGGCTACGATCCCACGACCGCGGTATGCTGCACACACACCTAAAGGACCACTACAGACACCTAGATCACATCAGCTCAATGAAGTGGTCTGGGTGTCAGGTCCCTCTAGTTTTAACCCTGCAGCTGAAAACATAGCTGTTTCAGAGAAACGGCTATGTTTCACTGAGGGTTAATCCAGCCTCTGGTGGCTGTCTCATGGACAGCCGCTAGAGGAGATTCCGCGATTCTCACTGTGAAAATCATTGAGTAATGCTCTCCTATGAGCGGTTTAAATGCGCGCGCGCGCCTCTTGCCGCGCATGTGCATTCGGAGCTGAGAGGCGGAGGGATCCCCAGCGCCAAAGAAGTCCAGCACTGGAGAAAGGTAAATGCTGAAGACACACACTCTCACGAACAGACGCATACACACTAGCTAACAGACACACACATTTACTGACAGAGACACACTCAGCGACAGACATACATACACACTCACTTACAAAACATACACTTTCACTGACAAACACACACTCACTAACAGACATCAGACACACCCAATAACAGACACACCCAATAACAGACACACTAACACCCACACTAACACTTACACACACACACTAACACACACACACACACACACTAACACATGTTTTTTTTAAAATTGAATCCCCCCAGCCTCCTTACCTTTTGGGGTGCTGGGGGGATTCCCTGGGGTCCAGTGGTGGTGCTGCTGGGCTCCTGGGGCTCCTGTGTGGGCGGGCTGTCTGTCCTTTCCCCTGTGTGCTCCCTCTTCAGCTCCCTCGCGCACCGCGTGGGGATGCCGGAGCCGGAAGATGACGTCATCTTCCGGTTCTGGTATCAGTGCGGTGTGCGAGGGAGCTGAAGAGGGAGCACACAGGGGAAAGTGCTCCCTTGCGCGCCGGCCACCCAGACAGACAGCCCGCTGGGGTCAGCAGGGCCAGCCTTGGGTGGGCCCTGAGGTGGTCGGCTCCTGGGCCCTCCAGGAGAAGAGGCTGGCCCTGTGGGTACATACCGGGTCGCAGGGGCGGCCGGGCCCCCTGCGACCCTGGTATGTACGCCACTGAACACAAGGGGCCACTTTTAGCACTGAATCCGTTTAATGACTTTGGATGCCTGTGTTGGATAATGTAAATAAGAATTTATTTTAAGAAAACCACCTCCAATATTATTAGGGGTAAGGGAGGCAGGTAAGAGCATACCATGTTTTTTCTTAGTATACTGGAACTAATGTATATATCAAAGACAGGGGCTCAGAATAAGAATTAAAGTTCCATAATTATACGTGTTTCAGTCATTAAAGCAGGCCCATGATCCAGCCCTTATGGACGTGTATGTAAGAATTTGAAATAGTGGTCCATCATTATATAACCAAATCTCAAAGCATTTAGAGATGGAATTAATTGCCAAAAACAAGGTTCCTGACAAGTAAAGTAAGAAAACACACTAAGCACCATAACCACTACAGCCCACTGTAGTTGGTATGAAGCCAGGAGTGTCTTTGCACTGTCCCTTGCTAAGATGTCAGACCATTTTAGGATGGTTTGACAATTTACTTGTGTTCTACCAAGATCACGCAGCACATCCAGTTTTCTGAGCAAAGCCCAGCTAATGCAGGACCACCCTCATTGGCTAAGAGTGCTCAGTTTGTCCTCTCAGATAATGAGTGTAGTCATGCATGGTCCTGCTTTATTCTATACTCATACCTATAACGGAAGCTCCTGTGGAGGGGCTTGGAGGCCAGCCTTCTGCCCACAGAGTATGAACCTGTACTCAGGAGCCCATAAAGAACCAAACACGTGCTATTGTCACTGTGTGGAGACGGTATAGGGGCCCCAGCCCCAGATGCTTACTCTATTACCAAAGTGGAAAGGGGGACTCTGGGGATTGCCTGGACCCATTCTGCACACAGAGCGCCTAACTGGGAGATACCCTCGATCGCGCTGGAACTATTCACCAGATCAGAATTGTGCCACAATCTGGTGAATCTTTTCTGCTATTTGGAGAAAATGTCAGATTTCAGTGCAATTTACTCACTGAGAATCGCAGAAGCGACCTCTAGTGGAAGTCAGTGAGACAGCCACTAGAGGCTGGATTAACCCTGCAATGTAAACAGAAACGGCTATGTTTTCAGCTGCAGGGTTAAAACTAGGGGGGCCTGGCCCTCTGAAGCGGTCTGGGTGTCTTTAGTGGTCCTTTAAGTAATGGAGCAGGTCACCAGCTATTTATAGCTCTCTAGAGATTGTAGAAATCTGCCTGTGAGTCACAGGCCTTCACCTAAAGCAGGCACCATGCAGAGTCTACTACAAATGCTGCAACATGCAGGCTGCATACCTCCCAGAACAAGCGATTTATAAAGGAGAGAGAACAAAACAAAACAAAAATCTAACAGCAAGTGCATTGTCCTCTAACTGCACTGTGATTAACTTTTAAATAATGTAAAAATAATTATAATGGTTATACAAAATGGCTTGCAGATGTTTATCTGAAATGTGATTTCCATTGTATCTTTTCTCTTTTTTTTTTTAGACGTGTAGTTCACAGGCAGCTGCACAAAGTGTTCTGCAACACATAGCGTGCATTTACTTGCTAGGAATCGTCAGTTGTTGTACAATTTATTTGGGGGCAGGGCAACTGCCCAAGTTGCTTCCTTACCCATTCCCGGAGATTAAATAGTAGGAGGAAATGTACAGTGACTACTAACTTTTAAACCTGGCTAGTAACCGAGGAGTTGAGATTGTGAACTCTGCAATATGCAACCAGATGATAAAGATGCCCAGACCGTAAGCATTTAGTGAATGTTGCTTGTAACTGTAATAGTTCTATATAACCTGTGAATTTAAATCACACACCAAAATGTATTCATTAAACAGACTGAAAATACAATTGCAACATTTACGCCTGACATTGAAAAATGCTCCATTTTAACTATAGCCACCTGAATTTAATTTGATTTTTAATGCAATGTTTAGTGAAGCCCTACTGTATCTATAGAAAGATATTTACCTCATTACCTTCTTTATAGATTTAGCCATTAATAACGCGATATTTTGAATTATTTTAAGATGTATGCTATTATGTCTAGAAGCAGAATAACAATTTGCCATAAGGGATTTAGCATTCCCTACTGAGCCACAGACAA